CTGGTCTAGCTATGATTAAACGAGATGCTTATTCCTGATTCTTTTCTGTGTCTGATGATATTTACTATGAAAAAGATTAGTGCTCGTTTCTCTGCAGAGTGATTAGAGAACAACTTAACTTTGCAGACCCAAAGTTTCTTCGAAATTAAGGCCCTACCATGATAAAAAGCCCTCTCCTACCAAATTAAACCTAAAAATAAGCTTATAATCAGATTCCAATCAAAATGCCGACTTACTAATTTAAAGGGCCCAGAATAGCTTTAATCAAACAGGGACAAAGATTGGCACCAAGTTATATGACAAAGAGATTTCAATATGCTGAATACATTTTGCAGAAAAGCAACATACGAACAAACTGTTTCAGATTTACAGCAAGATAATAAATGGACTCAGTTCCTTTATGCAAACAGAATCACCACGGGATTACCCCAATTAAAAAAAGAAAAGACATCATAGCCATCATACCATAGCCAGTGACAAGAGAATGGTGTTTAGACATGTCTCAACTGTGGGCTTCCCAACCTGAAAAAACAACAACTTAGTTAACAATGTTACTTGGTGGGAGTTCAACAGTCTCTTTTCCTTCTCTTTATTGTCTTGATATGTCGATATGCGAGGGGCGAATAGGCCACTTCCGAGTTGCTTTTTGCCTGTGCGAAACCATTCATATCTGCTCCACCTACGGGTTAATTTTCATGCAAATCAAACTCCTTTTCATATGATAGGTTTTGCACGAAGACTCGTTTTGACACAGAGGCACAAGGTAACTAGGAAGTGGTCTATTTGGAGGCTCGAGGAACCAATACCTCTCTCCATTCTCACTCGGAATTTTTCACCGCTTACGAAACGTGTCATTCGACCCGCGAGATTCCACACTGATGTCGTAGTTTTAGAGTTCCTGATTGGCTAATTGCTTGATTTTGGATTTTCGCGCGTAAGTAACAACCAATCAGGGACACCGCAAAGCATCTCAAACTACCCTATAGGAGATATGTTGGACCATCAGACAAAGAAAGGTAAGGTCTG